CACATTTTATAAGTATTGCCTGAAGTTGTTGCCATTGGTATTTGAAACCACTGCCCTAGCAAGACTGGGAAAAAGAGAGACACAACTGAGAAGCCCAAATCCTTAGCATTTTCAAGCATCTAAGACAGGCATATGTAGTGGCTATTTTGGTCAAGGTAGAAAGTTAACTTTTTTTCAATTTCCTTCACTCTTTTATTTCATTTCATTTCATTTTCACTTTCCTGCATTTTTTGCCGAACAAGCATCCTTCAAGATGCAGCTCAGGTGTCTTTTCTGCTTGACTCATGTAAGTACAGCTAATTGCTCCCTATTTTATGCCATCAGGGTGGCGAGGATTTATTGCTGACACACAGTTGCCTTGCATTTGTGGCTCTTCTTGTCAGTTTTTCTCCCTCCCTCTGGCCTCTGGCAGATAGTTTACCTGTGGATCCTTACAAAGAATCTGTTGTGTGATGTCCAATCAGTTCTTACCACCATTATTAGCCTACTTAATAAATCTATTTCCTTATGAATGGGTTCTGAGAAAATGTTAAAAATGAATTTGATGAAGAAATAATGAAAAGGCTGATTCTTTTCCTTTTTGCTTCTTCGCACTCTCTTTTGACCTTACCAACGTCTGTGAAAGTTCTCAGTTGACCAGCTAAGTGTAACGTCTGCTCTGCGCTTTCAAATCTGCCAAGGAAAAAGCAAAAATACTTCTGAAAACTGGAATCACAAAAGGTCAAAACTTATTTTTACCATATTGATACATAAGTTTGGATTGGGAGAAAATATTACATATTTGAACTTTCCTATTTAGGTCAAGATAACTGCTCAAGACTACTAAATACTTTTAGCAATGTGAAATCCATATTGAAAATATCTACTTGGTTAATTTTATTTCTCACGGTTTAAACGCAAAGATGCTTCTTACAACAAAGAAAAATTCAGATTCTCAAAGTTAATTTTTAATAAAGCAAACCAAAATATATCTGCAAATATGTTTATTTGGCACAGCATCACTGTGTCCACAAGAGCTGGCATCGATCGATTGGGAAGACTGAGGGAGAGATGGATCCCTGAAGCACCAAGAACAAGTGTACTTCTGCATCAAGAGAGCCGGGGTTAGTTCAGTCTGCAGCAAGCTGTACAGAGAATCCAGACAGGCATGTTCTGTCCATTTCAGGAAACAGCTTTTTTCCAGGCTGACCAGAAAACCCTAGAGAATGACATAAGCAGGTATTCCCTTTCTTTCATTTGAGTTTGGTATGTCCACCTCTGGGTCTTACTGCCTGTTTTTCCATCACTGTTTCCCAGCAGAGCGTATTTTCCTGCCCTTCCCCTGGCTAATTTGCTTGGAAGGATCTTGGTCATTTCTAGCATAGGAAAGGGTGGGACTGGCAAAGGTGTAACGATGTTCCTAACTGCTACTCTGATCTGCATGCCATCTTTTTCATGTATGGCTTTACTTAAGTAATCAAGCTTCTATCTCAGGAATAAAGTAATTCAGCTTCAGTGATTTTTAAAAAGTCTTACAAAAATTATGCATAAGCAATATATATCTTTATCCCCCTGTCAGAATTGAGAGGACTAAAGTACATTTATGATTATGCATATTGATACGTTTTTACAAGGATGACAAATATTCAACAGTATGTGGTTAGATTATTATGACTTTTGAATTGTAGTGTTAATGTGTATTTTACTTACTTTAGAATAAGTAATTTGCAGTGTAATTCACATCATATCTCTCATCTATGTCTTCAACAAATATAAATGATATGAAACATCTGTGAAATGGTATCCAGGGCACTGAACCCCAAAGCAGACAATTTGAGTTTAAGTCTTGCTCTACCACCTCTTAGTTAATATTATTGAAACTTTATTGGTGTATTCATAAAAAGAGTTAATTAAGACATTCAGCATAAATGCAAAAATTGAGCGGCTTAATTTGTGTAATATGTTTTATAAACTTTGAAGCGTAATAGTTCTATAAAATGTGCTAGTAGATTACTATGATAGTATGTTAGGTTTTATGGTTATCTTTTCTTTAAAAAGATAATTTTCATATTTAATGCAGTTTTTCAAGATCATGTTTTATTTTCAGAAAGCATTTTATTATATGTATGTGTGACTCACGTTTCCTCTATGTTTGAATAAGAAAATTATAATTAGAAATGTTGTAGTGTAATGATTCTGGAATTGTGTAATGGTCAGTCATTTGAGAACTGTAGCCAAAGCTACATATACAGGATGAGCGTAATATACACTGTATATTGATATGGGTGTTCCGATATGTAGGAATGGTATTTGCATTTGCTTATCAGAAACTGACTTTTCATATAAGTTCTGTAGGAGATGACAGTTTTTACTTTAGAATAGAATTAGAAGTTATAAATCAACTTAGTAAAATATGGAAACAAATATTATTTAGATATTATTTATTAGTTATAGGAAAACAATTGAGCATAGTATCAAACAAAAGCAGAGTTGTGAATTCTCTCTGTAAGTTCGTTATAGTCCACAATTTGCCATTCAAGGCTAGAGGCCTGGCCATTACTGTAAGTAGGCATCTCTGGTACCTTTTAGTGCCAGCACTCTTGCCTTAAAACATACAGACTTTCTGCTCCTCCCTTTTTCCCTATTCCTTGTGCAATTCTATCACTCATATCCTAGGGCAAATTATTAAAAAGTGACCGAGCTAACCTTCTGTAGACCTGCAAGTCGGGATTGATGTTCATATAGCAACAGACACAGCTGGATCATTCCAGAGTAATCACTTTTTGGTGCCTGAAGTTGTCATTAGCAGAAGACAGAGGGCCTGGGTAACTTAGGTCTGACCACTGACTCAGGTATCAGATTCCCTTCCCAGGTAGTCTTCAATGGGAACATTAGTTTTCTTTCAAAAATGACTTCTAACGATCATAATGATGTCCTTGAGTGCCAGGATAGGAATTTTCTTCCATCCCTAGCCAATTTACTTCTCTAGTCTTTCTTGACCCAGTCCCCTCTTCCTTCATAGTTTTCTCTTTGTTTTAAAATAGAAATGTCCTATCAAAAGTACTCAAAGTTTGCCAACTATGTTCCACTAACATGCATCTGTAGGGTAGACTGACAAAGTTCCTGCTTGTAACAAGTATAGTAGGATTTTAATGGTAACACCTGCTTCCTTTTATCATCCATTGGTCATTCTGGTGAGTAGCCTGATCAAAAACTAAGTGTAACACATATTTTAAGTCACTAATATTCCTTCTGATGAACAGTGAATGATAGGTTTTTAAAAAAGATTTATTAATTTTTATTGGAGATACAGATTTGTATAGAGGAGAGACAAAATCTTTCATCTGCTGGTTTACTCCCCAAATGGCCACAATGGCCGGAGATGAGCCAATCTGAAGCCAGGAGCCAGGACTCAGGAGCTTTTTTCAGGTCCCCTATAATGGTGCAGGGTCCCAAGATGCTAGACCATTCTCTGTTGCTTTCCCAGGCTACAGGCAAGGAGCTGGATGGGAAATGGAGCACCCCGCACAGGAACCAATACACATATGGGATGCCAGTGCCTACAGTAGAGGAGTAGCCTGTTGAGCAACTGTGTCAGCCCCTAATGACAGATAAATTTAGAAATACGCTCTTTTAGACTTCACTCCTGCTCACTCACTCACTCTCTAACACACTCATGCATGCACAAACACAAACACTTAGATATACACATATTCGTGAAAGAAAAAATCAGTTAATCCACTAACTACTTGGGCTTACCTCTGATATTTTATGTTTATTCTTAAACATGCTCATCAAAATCTACTAAGTTTTTTTCATGACTCAATTAAAAATTTTGATCCATAGTTGAAAAACACTAGATGACTTTCAATAAAGATCTTTTCATTCCTAAAATTATACATTCTCTTTATTTTTAGAATGAAAATTACATTTGAAAAAACAAGATTTCCTTTATCTGAGTAAAAGTGATATGGAAAGTAAAGCAGACAGAGAATTCCCTGGTTTTATCAGTGTTCTTTAGAAATTCTGATATCAGGTGAAAAATGGAAAGGAAACTGAAATAACAGCTCTCGGAATATGAATGAGAAAGGTAAACATCTAGAAGAACAGAAACAAGAGTCTTGGTGATCTTAAGATTTAACCGCTGTGACTTTAAGTGACACTCATTTGTGCTCAAAGTTTCCAACATGTTAGGAAGATATGAGAACATGACTGGATGCCATCTTTTCATGCTTTCCAGATTGTGAAATCCCAAAGATGCAAGTCCTAATGTAGCCAGGATGCCTGGCATGATCTGCTGCTGTTCCCCTGCCTCCCTCCAGCCAGTCTGGTACCCTACCCCATTTTCCTCAGGGCTTTCCATGGGAGGCTCTTGCTCCTTCCACAGTACTTTGCTTCAGTGTCTGAAGGGTTGCAGAATTCTTCGGCTTCTTCTAACCTGGCCAGGTTCCACACTGTCAGCAACATCTCCCCCCGCCCCCCCACCGGCTAAAATCCATTTTTAACAATGGTTCTTTATCTTGACCCTTTTCTTAACATGATGGTATTTATGATTTCTTTCTGTAAATTCCACAACATCAGGAATTGTTCCCTCCTTTGATCATTCTTATAATCATCAAATGAAGATATGGCATACACCGGGAGTTTGGTTAATACTAACCACAGGAATATTTGAATCTGAGTACGCCATGCAAACTAACCAAATCAGAAAGCTATTGGGAAGTGTGATTAAACATGGAGGCTTTTCATAATCTACAGTTTTCGTGAACTTTTTGAAGGCCTCATATATTCTAACTTAGGAAATATTCATATTGGCAATGCAGCAAGGTGGAGGAATCCACCATGGGGGGAGGGTTTGAGGAGGGGTGGGGGGAATCCCAGTACCTATAAAATGGTGTCACATAATGCAATGTAATAATAATTAAAAAAAGAACTATACCTTAGTAATGATTTAGAGGAACTAGGTGGGGGGGGGATGGGAAATTGAGGCTGGGATAAGGGAAATACCAGGAGCCTATGGAACTGTATCATAAAATGATGATGATGATAGTAATAATAATTATTATTATTTTTAAAAAGAAAGAACTACTACTGTAGTTTGCAGAGTCCTCCTGTAACAAAACATCTTAAATCTCCAGGGACACATACCCAGTGCTGTGACATGACTAGGACTGGAATCATGGTATCCAAGCATACCCTGAGAAATTGTTTAAGATGCTTGACTTGTCTCTGTTTACAAAGAAAAAGAATGAAGCAATCTTCTGACTGCTGGTAAAATGAGTTATTGAAACTGCTTTATTTCTGGAGTAGAGACTTGGAGTTTGCAGAATGCATCTTTGCTTTGTTTCTAGAATGTCTGAGTTGCTTCCTGATTTATGTGCGTGCTTAGCTGTGCAGTGTGCGTAGCAACACTGTTAGCAACGGTGGGTGGCAGATTAATTATTTAGAGAAAGAAAGCGTTACAAATTCCTGAAATTAAAGTTGACAGACATCACTGTGGTTTTTCATTCTTGATTTTTTTGGTTTTGTTTGTTTTGGTCTTTGGTGAAGAAAGAAAATAAAAGAGAAACCTTCAACTGCAAGCTTTTCTGGAACCTGGTAAAGACTGGAGACCATTTGTGTTATGACTTGAAGATATATATGTTAGTATTTCTGCTCCATTCTTGAGGAGCGCTAACAGATTGTTAAAGTGCATCCGAGGATAGGAAAAGTGACTACCAAAAAACGCACCTGACAGATCTGGACCCGTCTGAGATGGCTCATTGCTTATGATTTGTCACCGCTTTCTGGCTTTACCCACTGGTGGGGAAAGGGTGTCCGGGGAGCTGCTCGGGGTGGGCTGCCCAGACCCCGAGGCGAGCGCCCCGGGCTGCCAACCACGCCTCCCCCTGCGGCCGCTGATTGGTGGGGCCTCAGCATCAGCAGCATCGCCCAGCGAGGGAGGGCGCCGCGCCTTCAGCAGCTCCAGTCGCCGGGATCCTCGGCTCCCCCGGGCGAGACCTGGAGCTTGCACTGCGAGCCACCGCTTCTACCCGACCGCCTGCTGCCCACTCGCTCCTCTACTCTCTGGCCCTCCCCAGCAAAAGTGGCGCCTTCGGCAGCCAGGACAACCTCGTCTCCTCCAGGGCGGCTCGGGGAGGAGGAGGTTCCTGACCCTCTGGCTTCGGAGCCACTGCGGTCGCTGCACCCCAGCCGCCAAGACGCCTCGTATCTTGTACCGCGGGAAAAGCGGATCCTCATCCAAGATGGGCCGGCAGGGCTCGGGGGGCGCCGGCAATGCAGGGCGCTCCATGCAGCGCTCCCAGAGCCGGAGCAGCCTGTCTGCCTCCTTTGAGGCCCTGGCGGGCTACTTCCCCTGCATGAACTCTCTGGAGGAGGAAGAAGGAGGTGAGACTCCCAGTCCCGGGTGCCTTGCATGGGTTTCTATCTCAAAAAGTCGGCCTCCTGAGTAGGGCCGGCAGGGGAGAGGGATTCTTAACAACCTTGCCCTGCCCCACCTCCCTCCGGACTCTGTCTGGAGCAGAAAGTCCTTAGCGCGCCTGAGCTGCGTGGTCGCTGACTTAGCCAGTGCTGTCCCAGGTGAAGTTGAGGTGCTGGAAGTTGGATGAGGATGCAGACCTGTGGGAGGATTGGCTGCGCGCCTTTGAGCCCATTCCCGCCCGGTTTCCCTTTCTGGTCACACCTGCAGCGTTTAGTCTTAGCATTTTTCCTCCAGGGTAATCCTGCCTGAAAACTAAAGGAAAAGGCAGTATCCTAACTCTCAAACAGCAGTCTCAGCCTGTCGAAGCTTGGATGAGAAGAGCTGTTTGATGCACACAGGTTGTTGATAGGTAGCATTCAAGTTTGTGCTTGCACGTATGCAACAGAACTATGAATCTGACTGGGGTTCGTCCATCCTCGCTGTTGGAGCAATGGTGCTGTAACCAAATGGGAGGAGGAAGGGAGGAAGGAGGCAGGGGGAGTAAGAGAGGGAGGGAGGAGAAATGGAAAGAGAAAGAAGGAAGGGAGCAAGAGGGCGAGAGGAAGCAGGCAACTCCTTGGTGTAACCTTCTCATTGATTAGTTAGGAGTCCTTCATAAAGTGTGGGATAACACTTGGGTTTTCATGGTGAAGGATTTTCCTATAAAATGTCAAAAATGTAATGTCTGAATTAAAGTAATAATTGGTAAATAACGAAATAGTTTATTAATCTACTTACATAGTGTATATTATTATTGCTTAGCAATTTACGGATGTGTTAGGTGCAAACTGCATTCATTGTTAGAGCTGTATCCATGGAATAGCATTAAAAGCATGGCTTTCATGCTATTGATGTATAAATTAGGACTTGTTTTGTTTTGATTAGGAAATCTGTAATGAACCCTGACTGATACGAAATTACCTGTCATAATTTACCCCAATGCAAGAAAAGAAAGTGGGGGATGGCGGATTAATAATATTTTTGAAAGTGAGGAGCAAACTAATTTGTTCATTACAGCTGTGTAAATCTCTTTGGGCTTATTGTTACGATATAAAGAACTATCACAGAAATTGAAAGTTGTGTTTGTCAAGAGATTCTCCTCAATAAACACGACTTCCAGTTTTCCTAATAGATCTTTGGCATAATTATTCTGCTATGTTTCACTTATTTTCTGTAACTAAGTATTTAAAATTCTAGGGAATGTAAGTCAGTCAAGAAATTTAAAAATTAAATTGGTTAAGAGTGATCATAATTATAATTAAACTTATAATAATTATTGCCAGTCAGGCAGCAGCGTCCTAAGAACTTGGAGATGTATTTACTCTTTTAGACCCATCACAACCTTTTCAGACAATAGTTTTGTATTTACTATTTCAGTAATAAGGAGACTGAGCCGCAAAGAGATTCTGAAATGTGCCCAGGTCATTGGGTCGAGTTAGCACTCGAGCCTGGTCAGCAACACAACCTGTGTACTCAACACTCAGGCTGTTTTAGATCGTTCTTCAAGTACCCTCGGCTGTGCTCACGTACTCAGTAAGTGGTAAACAAGGCCACTTGTGCCTGAAAACACATGGTTAAGTAAAACATACGTCATTCCAGGCTCCTTTTGCAGCTCTCATTTTTGTATGAAGTTTTTAGTCCTCAGCTGACCTTACATGAGTTGCTTTTTTTTTTTAAGGTGTAACTAGGATTGTTGAATTTATAGAAATATCATCCCCAAAGCCTCTTTTGAGAAAAAAAGGCATTACTCAATGTGATTTTTGTCTCAAAATTAAAGTGCATTCACTTAATCTCATATCATATTGAATAATTCTATAAGAAATGTGTACATCTACATATGAGATATTGCAACACATTTTTGTCCCATAATAGTGTTTCTTGATTGCCAAAGCAAATTATTCCATAGAGAGGATGAATTTTTAAAACAAACTATACAGCAGGACACATGAAGGTCATGTGGCTAAAATACTTGTGAGTGCTATGTGAGACCTGTTCTAATTTATGAAGCAAGTAAGCTCATTCCAACGTGATTTTCACACTGAGCACAATTTATCTAACACCATGATTTGAATTGATTAATTGTTAGACTGGACCAGTATGGTTTTAAAATTTGTTACTATTTATCTTTGGACATTGTGTAGTGGCTAATCTCTCCTGTGCCTTGTCTTCCAGTTCTGTATCATTGTGTGGTTTTTTTTTTTTTTTTTTTTTTTTTGGTGCATTGGTCATTCTAAACAAAAATTATTACAGAGAAGTCTATAGCAAGATATTTCACTATTCATTCATTCTTTGAGGATATTTGAAGTGCTAGTAGCTGTTAGAATCTGTGAATTTGGTTCATATGTTTCTTAATGGAGAAAGACGTTAAAAGACTATGTAATTGTTACTGTGGAAGTGTTTTTTAGATAAAGTACTGAGTACAGTGGGAGAATGTAGAAAAAACAACTAATTAAGGAGGGTAGGTAGTGTGTCCTGAGAAAGTAAATAGTAAAGGTTGATTACAGTATAAATGACAGCTTTCCGTTTCTTACTAATTCACATCCCACATAACCATTTAAAACAATTTGCCCAGATTCTGCAGTTAGGCAACAAATGAGCTAGGATCCAACCCTGTAATCTCTGGCTTTGGAATTTACAATCTTTGCTATAATACTCCATATGTTGTTTCTGCATTATACTGCAATGCTTTGTAATGAACTACACAGCATTGAAGACCAACAACAATAATAAGTAGTACTTATCATGTACTTTCTCTGTGCAAATCCTTCAATTTCGTGATGATACTTCAAAGAACTATTTTTTCTCAATTTCTACTTGTGAGGCATGAGAAGAAATTAAAAATCAAAGAGAAGAAATTAAAATCAAAGAAATTAAACAACTTGCTCATGTATCATAAGTTCCACTGGGTCTGATTTCACTGGGTTTGAATTCAAATAAGGATAAGTGGGTTATTCTTATCAACAAAATAATAACATTATTCACATAATAATATTGTACACTTGCTCTTCTTTTGCTTTTATTCTTGTCCCTGAGTATATTCTAAATATATGTACTCTGGATCTTAAATGTTCTTTTTCTTAAAAGTAATGGTAATAATGATAGTACATTACACATTATTAAACAATGTATAAATTACATTTACTTAACTTACCTATGAACCTTGTGTGATATTATTTTAATTATAAAAGCTACTTGGCCCAACCACTGACTCTGACTCCCTAAGACAGGAATTTGCTGAAAGTAGAATTTTTAAACATTACAGGCAGTTCTAAGAAGGAAATATTTCAAATATTTCAAATATTTCAAATATTCTAAGAAGGAAATATTTCAAAATATTTCAATATTTAAATATTACAGGCAGTTCTAAGAAGGAATGGAATTGTTACCATTCTCCATAGGAGAAGCATCCCCCTGGGTATCCTAGCAGTACATCCAAATGCAAATGCTTATACCATTTAAAGTAGGATATGGCATGTTTTGTAAACCAGAGGGCTGGTTTCTCAGAAACTCTTAAAAAAGATTGATTTATTTATTTGAAATATGAGGTAGAGTAAGAGAGAAAGTGACAGAGGGAGAAAGATCATCCATTCACTGGTTCACTCCCCAGAAGCCTAAATGGCCAGGATTGTGCCAGGCTAAAGTTAGGAGCTTCATTCAGTCTTCCAAATAGATACAAGGGCCCAAGCATTTGGACCATTTTTCACTGCTTTACCCAGGTCAACAGTAGGAGTTGGTTTGGAAGTGGAAACCCGTTATACAAGCTAGTATCCACATGTGATTCCAGTGTTACGGGCAACAGCTTTATGTGCTGCACTACAATGGCAACCCTTTCAGAGGATGTCTTAATATTACATGTAGTATAGGATTTGGGATCCATGTTTAAGTAGATATGTAACATTTAAAGAATCTGACCTGCCTGATTATAAATTTATTTATTTATTTATTTGTAAGTCAGAGTTACAGATAGAGGCAAGACATGGAGCGAGAAGGATCTTCCATATATTGATTCATTCCCCAAATGGGCACAAGAGCCAGGACTGTGCCAGGCCTAGTTAGGAATCAGGAGCTTCATGCAGGTCTGCTGTGTGAATGCAGGGCTCCAAGCGCTTAGGCCATCTGCTGCTTTCTCAAACATATTCGTAAGGTGCTGGATCAGAAGTGGAGCAGCTAGGACTAGAATTGGCACCCATATGGAATTCTGCCATTAATGGAGTCAGCTTAACTTGCTGTGCCACAGTGCCAGCCCCTAAACTACTCATCTTGAACTAGTTAATGAGTCTAAATACTTTTATGTGTAACCAACTTGGAAATCGAATTACAAGAAAGCCATATAAGAAGAATAGCTTAAAAGTAGTCAGAAATACATATAAGGACCTGGCATATGATAGTTAAGTTATTGAGAATTAGTATACAAGTGAGCTGAGTGGACTGGAATGAAAGTAAAAATCTTCATGTCCCCTCCATTCCTTATGAGGCATTCATGCAGTAAAAAGATGACTAAAATCCATTGTCCATTTTATTCTTTGTGCATAGTAAATAATACACTCTTGGTTTACATTTTTTACGTACTTAAAAGGCAGACAGACTGAAAAAAGACACCTTTCATCCACTGATTCACTTCCCAAATACAACAGCTGGGGCTGGGCTGAGTTGAAGGCAGAAACCCGGAACACAGTGTGGCTCTCCCATGTGGGTGGCAAGGAGCAGGAACCTGAGCTCCAGTTTTCTCTCATGCTTTAGTAGACTCTCTAAATTCAAAGCCAGTAAAAGCAATTCGTTTCTTTATGTCAATGTCCTGTACATTTTTCCAAGGACTATATTTTAATGTAAGTGATCTCTGTAAGAGATGTTTTTGATTGGGGAAGAAGAATTTTTACCTGTTGCCTTGTATACATAGTATTGTCTGGACAACTGAAGGAAAAGGTGT